ATATATGTGACCCTGCAGCACAAAAGCAGTGTTAAGTCGCTGGGGTATATTTGTAGCAATAGCCAACAATACATTGTATGGGTCAAAATTATAGATTTTTCTTTTATGCCCAAAATCATTAGGATTTTAAGTAAAGATCATGTTCCATGAAGATATTTTGTAAATTTCCTACCGCAAATATATTACAACTTAATTTTTGATTAGTAATATGCATTGCTAAGAACTTCATTTGAACAACTTTAAAGGTGATTTTCTCAATATTTAGATTTTTTTGCACCCTCAGATTCCAGAGTTTCAAATAGTTGTATCTCGACCAAATATTGTCCTATCATAACAAACCATACATCAATGGAAAGCTTATTTATTCAGCTTTCAGATGTATAAATCAGATGTATAAAAAAAATGACCCTTATGACTGGTTTTGTGGTCCTGGGTCACATATTGTTAAAATTGTCACTGGAATGATGCACCACCTTTACTTGCCTGTAGGTGGTGCAATATGACCATTCTAACAATGTATTCATATTGAGTGAAGCTGAGCATAAAAACCAACCGATCAGTTCAATTATACAGAGGAAATATTAAGCAATTAAATTAAGTAATTAACCCTCATAGCACCTATTTTGTAATAAGTTATTTGCCTGCTAATGTCAGGTGTCTGTCACAGAAATAAATGACAATAAATAATATGCATTTAAAAAGTCAAAAGATGCATGCCAGACAATAAGAACGCAATTATTATAATTATTATTATAATTATTATTCATTATGATTATCATTTTAATAAAGTCTTAAAGTGTTGAGTTTAAAGTTTAATAGTGTTTAAAAATAAGAGGAACTTTTAATTATGAATGTATTTCACATTCACAAATGTTGAGTGTTAACTATTATCATTTTGCATTACTAATTAATTAATTACCTAATTAGTGCTGTACAGTTGCTTTGACACAATCTGTATTGTTAAAAGCGCTATAATCCTAAGTTGGGGAAGTCGTGGCCTAATGGTTAGAGAGTCGGACTCGTAACCCAAAGGTTGCGGGTTCGAGTCTCGTACCGGCAGGGATTGTAGGTGGGGGGAGTGAATGTACAGCGCTCTCTCCCACCTTCAATACCACGACTGAGGTGCCCTTGAGCAAGGCACCCGAACCCCCAACTGCTCCCCAGGCGCCGCAGCAACTTTGTGCACTTTGGATGGGTTAAATGCAGAGCACTAATTCCGAGTATGGGTCACCATACTTGGCCACATGTCACGTCACTTTCAAATTATAATTAAATTTTTCAGTGATTTCAATCAAAAGCATCTCATCATCATTAAATATACTGGCCTGATCTAATCTAATATTTTCCCAAATGACAGGTCAAAATGTCATTGGGTCATAATCTTGACAGAAATGATTGAATCCATTAGAGTGACACAAAAAGATCTATTTTTTTTAAAGCGTGCAATATCAGTGGGTCCTTCCTAAAACATGTTGGACCTCAACAAGAAGTAAATAAATAAGGCATCTTCAAGCGTCTAAATGAGAAAGATGTTAGACTTTTCTTCTAACTATTAATTCAACTTGAGAGCTTTATGTGGATCTACTAGTAAAGGCAAAGGTGATTAAAAGTGGTGAAAATGTAATTTCAACCTACATCCTACATTCCTCTAATACAGTGGTTCCCAACCCTGGTCCTGGAGGCACCCCAACACTGCACGTTTTGCATGTCTCCTTAATCAAACTCACCTGATTCAGGTCATCAGCTCATTAGTAGAGACTCCAAGACCTGAAACTGGTGTGTCAGAGAAAGGAGACATGCAAAATGTGCAGTGTTGGGGTGCCTCCAGGACCAATATATAGGACTCTAATATATATCAAGTTTAGTCTAAAATCTTTAAGTTGACGTCCATTTGTCAATGACCCATCTATCGTATGATGTCTTCTTCAGGCCCGTGGTGTGAGTAACAGATGGGGCAGTGGGAAAATCCGCTTAGCAACTTTCTGCTGATGGAGCTTCATTGAGTAAAGCTGCACACTTTCTCATTACTAGCTTAGCATCACCGCACTGAGGCCTCGCTTGCTTTTGTTCAACTTCACTGGATACAGTTTGAAGATAAAGGACATGTCTGCCGAAAAGGTGAGTTTGTTTTAATTGATTGATTGCATAAAGCATGTTGTGGCTTTTATTGTTATTATTATCATCCGAATAGCTGTTGATCTAAATGTTGAGTCACTGAAGGACATTCAGAGATTGAATCATTAAGCATCTTCTGTTTTAAACTAGATCTGTGATCAGAATGGATTTAAAGCCGATTAATATATTTAACATCGATAATTTAAAAAACACGCTGTCATTAGCATGTTGGTTGATGTCACTTGTCTAATTAGTGAGTTCTAGTGAGGTCACTCCTAGTTTTACAGGAAAGTTCAGTGATATTGTAGTGAATAATTGCAAAGCTTGTTACAGACATGTGCAAATGACTGAATCAAACACTTCCAGCCATGAATTTCAATATTAGGTTATCACCTTGTTCTGTTGCTTGTGATGAGAAATGCTAAATGGCTGTAAAATATTACTTTATATTTGCATAAACTAAAATAACTAGAAGGACTATTTGTATTACAAGTGGAAAATATTAGGCATTGCAGATTTATATCATATTTATATGGTGAGTCCTTATAATCAAGAAAATATTTTATAATAATGATGTATTTAGCTCAAGGGTTCAGAGCTTGACAGATCATGTTGAAGTATAAATGTAAATATGTCTCATTCAGTTTTATTCAAAGTATAAAAGATGACCTACAAACACAACTTGAGTTCATTTAGACAGCACAAATACTTAAATTTTTAAGCTCAAACTATATTTGGCAAATGTATATTTTTTTGTTGTTAACTGAATGGAAACATGGTTGAATTAGGGTTTTTGTTTTCCTCCACACCTCATGACAGGGATTGGCTAAGGTGACGGTATTAATGGTCTTATTCTGGCTGCGTCTTAAGTGGATCACACACACTTACACACTCGTACACACACATTCAGACTCCCAGACAGTCAGTACAGTGTGTCCCCTGTTTTAGACCATATATATGAGGGTGAAAAGATGTGTGGGACATATTTGTGAAATACAGTCCACAAAGAAGAATAACGGATAACTGTGAGGTTTTTCCATTACTGACTCCTGCAGCTTAAGCACTCACAAACAGGATGTGTTGTATAGTATGGTTATGCATCAGATCACTGCTTTTATATCAAAATATCTAGAGATGATGCAATCTTATGCTTCAAAAAATACAAATATCATTGTGTATGAGAATTTAATTTGATTATCTAATTAAACAATACATTAAAAAAAAATAAAAAAGGCTAAAATATACAATTAGGTCCATATATATTTGGACACAGGCACAATTTTCATAATTTCAGCTCTGTATGCCAGCAGAACAGAATTAAAAATAGAACAATCAAGATGAAATTGAAGTGCAGACTTTAAGCTTTAATTCAAAAATATAACATAAAGTGATTAGGAATTACAACCATTTTTATACACAGTCCCCCCATTTTCAGGGGCTCAGATTTAATTGGACAAATAAATATAATCATAAATAAAATGTT